TCGGGCAGGACAGCCCCCGCCCGCGCAGGCGGAGCACGGCCGCCCGCGCCAGGACCCGCGGGCCCGGAAACGCTCGTTGTCACAAAGGGGGGGAAACACGTGGGCGCCCACGGCCCGGCGGCGGTCGCAGGGAGCTGGGGTCGCCTCGAGAACCGCCCACCGTCCCCGCCCGGCCGAGTCCTCGGCTCCGGCCGTCAGGCCGGTCCACCTTCGGCCGGCCTCCGGCCGCGAGGTGGCTGTCCGGCTCGGCGTGACCACCTCCCGCCAGTACGTACCTGCGGCCCGAGCCCGCGTCCTCCTGGACGCCGAGGGGCTGGCTGCCCCGAGCCTCCCGCAGTCCCCGAGCACGCGCGATCATGGGGAGTCTCCCATCGGCACTGCCACTCCGAGAGCCGGGCCCTTGGCTCTTAAGGCCGGGTCAGACCTCCAGCCCTGGGGGTCCCAGACGCCTGCGGTACAGGAGTCCCCACGGGGTCCCCTCTGTTCTCCCAGTAGGACGCCTCTGCCCTCCCCTCAGTCATCCCCTGTCTCTCTTGCTCCTTAGGTTTTCTTCCACCTCGTTCGGACCCCCTGCGTAACCATGTCCATCCTGTATGTCTCCCCTCACCCCGACGCCTTCCCCAGCCTGCGTGCCCTTATAGCGGCGCGCTATGGGGAGGCTGGGGAGGGGCCGGGCTGGGGAGGAGCCCACCCCCGAATCTGTCTCCAGCCGCCTCCGACCAGCAGGACTCCCTTTCCCCCACCCCGCCTGCCCGCCCTGGAGCAGGGGCCCGGTGGGCTCTGGGTGTGGGGGGCCACCGCTGTGGCCCAGCTGCTGTGGCCGGCAGGCCTGGGGGGCCCTGGCGGTAGCCGGGCCGCCGTCCTGGTCCAACAGTGGGTCAGTTATGCCGACACGGAGCTAATACCAGCTGCCTGTGGAGCAACGCTGCCGGCCTTGGGACTCCGGAGCTCTGCCCAGGACCCCCAGGTGAGTGGGAAGAAGAAGGGAAGAAGGAAGAGGGGGGAATTTAGAAGAAAGAGTAGAATGGGTAATGAGACTGGCAGACAGGGTGTCAGAGGTGGAGAAACACTGATCACGTCCCAGATTGCCACCTGGTATGATAACCTTGGGCAGGTTTCTTAAACTGAGTCTTGGTCTTCCCATCTTTGAGAGTGGAAATTTCCATGTCGAGAAACACTTTTGAGAAGATGGAAAGAGGTGTGCAGAGTATAGTCTGGTGCCAGGTGTTTTAAAGTCTGGGAGTAGAAGTTTGAGGAGTCTGAAGCTGATGAACGTGGTTACTGAGAAACATAGAAAAAGACTGGAGAGAAGAGAGGCAAGTGGGGTGGGAGAGGTAGCTGTGCTCGGGGAGATGGAGAAGGCAAATGAGGAGGGGAAGGAAGGGAGAGGAGAGAGGACTAGACCAGACTGAGGCTGTGAGTCCAAAGCAGACCACCTCCTTGCAGAGTTTTGAGCACATGGTGGATCCTTAGTATTTCTTCAATGAATGAATGAGTGAATGAGATGAATATGTGACCCTGGCTTGCTCCCTCAATTTCTTGCTTACTCTGTCTACCATAGAAGTCCCCTCTCTGGAATGCCTTGTCCCCCTCAGCCTGATTTATTTTTCTTCATAACACTTAACGGAGAAAAATAGGATAATGCGTTCTGTATTTGCACGTTTACTGTCTCCCCCACTGGACTGTAAGTAAACTCCACCAGTCAGGGTCTGTGCTTGTCTCCACATTCTTCATAGAGAAGTGCCGGACCTATAGTAGGTGCTTAATAAATAAATACTTCTTGAAGCAATTACTGGGTTGTCTTATGCAATCTTTAACTTCTGATGTTTAATATATTGCTTCTGGTACATAGTAAGTGTTCAGCAGGAATTTATTGAACAAATGGGAATACGTTTGTTATGATCTTTGGCCTCAGGTGGTGATTTGTGGGAGCAGAAGGGGGCCACATGGATTGGGTGGGGATAGGGGTGGGGATTGAGGTGGGCCAAACCTTGTCTCATAGCCCTTCCCTGTCCTGCTAGGCTGCCCTGGGGGCCCTGGGTCGGGCCCTGAGCCCCTTGGAAGAGTGGCTTCGGCTGCACACCTACCTGGCCGGGGAGGCCCCCACACTGGCTGACCTGGCGGCTGTCACAGCCTTGCTGCTGCCTTTCCGTTACGTGAGTTGCTGGGGCCTGGGGAAGAACGAGGGCAGCTGTCCTCATACCTCGCGAGAGGGTGACTAAGGGTGTTTCATTTCGTTTCACCCTCCCAGGTCCTGGAGCCCTCTGCGCGCCGGGTCTGGGGCAATGTGACGCGCTGGTTCATCACGTGTGTCCAGCAGCCAGAATTCCGGGCGGTGCTGGGAGAGGTGGTTCTGCACTCGGGGGCCAGACCCCTCTCTCAACAGCCAGGTGAGGAGGGCTTGCTCTGGGCCTTCTCTGTAGCTCACTTTCCTTTTTTCTTTTAGGAATGGCGGAGTCACTCGGGAAGGGGCCTGAGGGAGGGTGAGGTGGGAAACCAGCACGGGGAGCCCTGGGGCGGCTGGAATGGCCCATCTGAAGCATCATGGCATGGTTAACAGAGAGGGTCCCCAGTGGGCTAAGTTGGCATTTCTGTGCCTCTCTCTAGGCCCTGAGGTCCCTGCACCCCCAAAGACGGCTACTCAACTCAAGAAAGAGGCAAAGAAACGGGAGAAGCTAGAGAAATTCCAACAGAAGCAAAAGACCCAGCAGCAGCAACCACCCCCAGCAGAGGTGAGAAGCTAAGGGTCGAACTGGAAGGTTGGCACCGTGGTGGGTGGATGATCTCTCTGCCTATAACTTTTCCCTCCCAAGCAGAAGAAACCAAAACCAGAGAAGAGGGGGAAACAGGATCCTGGGGTCATTACCTATGACCTCCCAACCCCAGCTGGGGAAAAGAAAGGTATGAGAAGGGGGAAAGGACCCCCACCCTTCATTTCCACCCTCCTCAGCTGCTGCTTTCCTTGGTGTTACCCCTTCCTGCTCTGCCCTTGCTCCCACCACTTGGCTTTGGAGGGTTTGCACAGCCCCCCAGATTTTCCAGTGCCTGTCTGTCCTATGATGTGAGCCACAGAGGCCCGGCGCCTCTGCTGGCCCATTGTCCCAGCTGCTCCCAGCCTCAGGCACTGACCCTCCCCATCTCTCCCCCAGATGTCAGTGGCACCATGCCCGACTCCTACAGCCCTCAGTATGTGGAAGCTGCCTGGTACCCTTGGTGGGAGCAGCAGGGCTTTTTCAAGCCAGAGTATGGAGTGAGTGGGCTCTGCTGCCCAGGCCTGGAGGACATGTGGGAGGGCGACAGCAGGGCCGAGGGACCCATTGCCTGGGAGGGGGCCGGGAGAGGGATGGAAGGCCTTAGCATGTGCCCATTCTTCCTCCCCCATCAGCGTTCCAGTGTGTCCGCACCAAATCCCCGGGGAATCTTCATGATGTGCATCCCACCCCCCAATGTGACAGGCTCCCTGCACCTGGGCCACGCACTCACCAATGCCATCCAGGACTCCCTGACCCGATGGTAAGCTCCTGTCCTCTCTTTCCACCAGTTCCCTCTGCCTTCTCTGCCTCCTCTTTAGTCCTCCCTTCTCTTCCTGAACAGTTCTCTGTCCTCTCTTCTTCCATATGGGCCCTCAGCTGTGCCCCCTGGTGGTGATCCGCTTCTGTCCCCATCAAGTCCCATATCCCATCAGGAGCGCCCTCCCTTAGGCAACCAGCACCCTTCGCTTGCAGACTCTCCTCTCCCTTGTCTTGCTACTAAAAATAACTTTATTTTGAGTTAAACAAGAAATATGTAAATATGTTTTTGTAAGAAATTTAAAGCTTTAAGTCTCTTTGACTACGTTTCTGTGGACCTATTCCCTCGCAAAATTTAGCCATTATTACCACTTTTATGTGTATCATTCCAGATCTTTTATCTGTTTACTTACAAATACGTGTATCCATAGAAACTTATAATTTTCTTTTTGGGTGGGTTTTTCTCTTTTCTATTCTTTAACATAAGAGACTCAAACCAAACATGTTACTCCACAGCTTTTTTTCTTATACTTAGCAGTTTATTTGGGAGATCTTTCCTTGTTCTTGTACACAGACTGACTTCATTTTCTTTCATTGTGCCGTAGCATAATGTGGCTATACCATAATGGAGTCACTTCCTTAATAATGGTTGTTGCCTGATTTTTCTCTCTCGAA